TTATTAAGTAATTGTTATCAGGTAGTAATTGTGTTAATTTTGAAGTTTAAATATCAAGTTAAAAATGTCATTTTAACAGAACGTCAACGGTTTCTTGTAGACGTATCTATTTAAAAAAAGTAAAGTGTTCTCGAATAGTTGAATTTAAATATTTTAAATAGTTTTTTTCTTTATTCTTTGTATTTTTTTGCTTCCGACGACAGAAAGAGATAACTTTCCGAAACGTTAAGCATTTTTTTTTATTCAGCAAATTTGTATTACTGTAAACATAACTTCTGACAAGCAGCGTCCGTTTAGGTTTAACGCAGAAGTGTTTACAAAAAATAATTATTTTATTTTGTAGATTTTCTTGCAGTGCAGTGGCGAAATACCCATAAACGATTTTTTTGGAAAAATAAATCTTATTTTTACAAGAGAAATCACCCCACGAGAAATGACACATGTTTTTTGAAACACCCTGTATAAATCCATTAGATTTAAGATTTAGATTAGTTAACAGTGTTCACACTTGATAACCGTCAACGATACATCTGATCCAAATGTTGTTGTGGAAAATTTCAAAATAGAATTCAAAAATAGAAAAAGATATTTTCAGTTCAAGAATATACTTTTCTTACACGAATCACCGTCACTTAAGAGGTTTCTTATAAATCTGTATTAATTCTAATTAATGCCGTCAGCTGGTGATGGAAAAATTCCTTGGGAAAACCAATTTTCCCATTATTAGTTCTCCAGGTAACTCGGGGCCTCATTTTAATATGAAAACTTTTTTAATAAGCCCCCAAGGATGATAACCTGACCGGCATATTTGTTTGTTTGGCAATCTCTGGCACTTTATTGAAAGTGGGGTAAGATTTTTGATGTAGTCATCTCCAGATTTAAGTTTATCAACCAAAAAAAGGTAAAAAAATTGCAATCTAACAATATTAAATCAGTACCATACGATCGAAAAGAAAAACGGCGTCAAAGACGGCTGGGGAATAACAATCGTTGATAATTTTGACGAGGTCAAGCCCTAGTTGTAATTTGCTATTTATTAATGGCGCTTACCTGCCAGTTGGCCTTAAGAATGTTGTATTTTATATTTATACTGAGTAAAAATGATTTCTAAATGGTGTAGTTTAACACTGGAGTAAAATAATTTTTCGAAAATAGATTTGTGTGCAGGGGCCGATACAGGAATTTATTTTAGGGGGGCCCAAATAAAAAATAATGTAGAATATGCTTTTTAGAGTGCCATTTTTAACCCAAAAGCCTAATATTTATCCCAATTTATATATTAACAATAAAAAAAACAACCAATTACGGTTTGGCGAGACCAACCTCGAAGGAAAGACGTCACCAGAGGTTTTCTTCCGGTCAAACAACCCGTTGCCTTACAGTACTTGCAACGTTTATAGTCAAAAGACTCTCAACCCCCAAATATCAGCTCTATGACAAAACACAAGACAACAGTCGGCTGGCCAGTCTACTACTGAACCGCCGTAGGCAAGCTAAGCCTCCTCTTACATCACAATTTTACCGGATCGCAAATGTTTACATTACTTGCCAATGAATCATACTATTTTCTCTAATCGACTTTAAAATAGAGTGTTTTAGCATTACTAGATAAATAAATAGAGAGTTTCCGAATTATAAAACCATTATTTTAACCAACTTATTTTCCAAGTTTTACAGAGCTGAGTTTGAAGGGTCCGATCTGTTACGAAACGTTGTCTTAATGTTGAGAGTTTTAAAAAACGTTCCTGAATCGGATTGGTTTTTCGATTCCCGCCTTGAGTAAATTACATTAAATCGTTCACCAATTCTTCGGTAGCTCCAACCTTCCTCAGACAATATTAATGCTTGAGCACATTCTTCGCCAGTAAGATTTCTTGTTTCACGTGCACGTTGCATATTTTTGATATAATAAAAGGACGAAAACGACTAACACTGACAACAAGCATCTCTATTTGACAGTTACTGGTAATCCGTTTTTCCATAGCCTGCTACTTACTTTAGTGAGTAAAATGGAAAAATGTTAATTAAAACCAATATTAAATCATGTCATCCTATAAAATGTTGTTTCTCGTGTAATAAGGAAGATAATGAAGTAAATAAAAAAACAAAATGTAAAAAAAAGTTAAGGCTAAAATGTGATTTCAATTTTAATTTGATACTGTAACTGATCAACTCTACAGGGTGTCACAAATTTTATTAAAAAAACACGTTATAATTGCTACACCCGGTATTAGTATAAAAAGGGTTCCTATCAAAATACAGTTAGTATAGCAACATTGTGGAAAGAATATCCTATCATTCAAAAAAAAAATCGTCCAAATCGGATAAGTGGTTTTGACAAAAACTTAACTTAAACTTTTGGTTATTTTTTTGTGGTGCGTTAATTAACGAAATACCTTCGTAACAACAGCTATTTTAGAAACATCTAGGTTAACTTATTTCACTGAGATTTATGAAAGAAAGTCCTTTGTCTCGGGTACAGATACCGCCACGTTTTTGAAATAGCTCAAAACGAAACAAAATTGAACGAGGCAACAGGAAATGCAAAAAAATTCCCTCATGAATAGTTTTCAGGCGCTTTTAAGAATCGAAAGTAGGTCGAGGCAAACCGAAACTGGAAATAAACCGAAATACGACAAAGTTGGGCCGCGAAACGCGACCTTGATCTGCTTCGATGAGTTCTCCGCATAGTGTAGAGACTGTTTAAGAAACTAAGCGAATTATAAAAAGGTTTAGCATCAGTTCTAATCACTAATCCTACAATCAATCATTGTTGATCTCTTTTTATTTGTTTAATTCAATTTTATTCTCATTTTCATCAAAAGTCTAATTTTTTAACGTATAAAATGCAATAGAAAAAACGAATCGACAGATGCTGTCCTCGAAAAGCAATAGAGTGACATTACAGAGGGATTAGCAAGACTCCGAAGCCCTAACCTCATTTTTTAAGCCCTTTATTTACGACATCGGCCCCCAAACGACACCTCTGGGTACCATTTTCACCGTTCCAACTTCGGCCTCGTTTAGTTAATGATCATTACGGCTATCGAACCGCTATTTGAAGTAAAAAACCTTTTTCTTGGTCTTTTCCACGATATAATTTATTTCTAATTGATTCTATGTATTTCTACTGGAGTGTGAAGATTTATTTTATGTCTAGAGTTTTTTACAGGGACGTGCCTATGTGTAGGATTAGGACTTTTGATTACACGATCTACAAAAATGACATTATTAACGTGCAATATTATAAGACAATAAAATAAGCTTCTAATCTAACAAGCAAAAAGAGGTACCTAAATACGTTTATTTATTGTAAACATTAATTATAATATCAGTATAATTGGTTAAATTTATTCCAGACGATGACAGGCGAGTTGAATTTTTAGAAAGTAAATTTATTTAATATTATTTTTTGTTTTTTTGCTAAAACTGAACGGTTAACACAAAATTGAACGTCAATAATTGAGTTGTCAAAGTCAAAATAGATACAATCAACAAGCACGGTTACCACGCCGTCGACTAATATGGGCACCTGATAATTTTGAATTTTAGTTTTTATGAGGATATCTCTGATATTTTAAATTAAATCAAATCTCTTTGGATCGTCCCTTGTGTCGCGTCGTAGATTAAATTTTGAATGATACACGTTCGATACGAACTTTTTAATGGAACTTGTATTAATTCTTCATCTAATAAAAAAAAATATACAGGATGTTCCATTAAAAAAAAAACAAAGAAAAATTATTTTATATTTTAGAAAGTTTGGCGTAAAATTGTGAACACCCTGTACGATTTAAAATTACAATATTTATAGCAAAGTAAGTATAGACCATCCAAAGTAAATACCTAATATAGTTTTGATTTAAGGACAGTTCTTGTATTTGTTATAATTTTTTTAAGAAAGGATGAAAAATATATATTTTTTATTTATTTATTAATATCTCCGAAATTATCGAAATATATTTACTCATATCTTCGGATTCTGTAAAGTGATCTGAAAGGAAGCCAACAATGCAATAATATACGGAGTGTTCCATTTAAAAAAAAATCATCCCGATCCATCCAAAATTCCCAGGTTTTTTTATTGTAGGAGCTACAGATGCCCGACGCACTATTGCCGAACCCTGTATTTTTAGAACATTGTAGATATAAAAAAACACATCAAAAACAGTTATTTTATATAAAGAATGAAACTTTTTTAACTTATATCAAAATTTTCTCATAAGTTTTATAACATTAAAATTAAAAAAAAAGTAAAAAAAAAACGAGACGTCGACGAAATAAGGAAAATCCTAAATTTAATAAAATAAAAATGGAAACCGCCGAAGGGGAATTAGCGAGGTCAGCGGTAAAAGCGAGGCACGTGGCTCGGAAAATGCGCGAGGTTAAGAGAGGAAAATGAAGGAAATTCCTTGATTCCGGTCTTGTTAGTATAATTTTAGTTGCAAACGAGACCAACATAATCTTACGGGCTCAAACAATGTACAGGGGTAACCTCAGAAGTCTAATAGTAATTGCTTGTATAACTGATCAAAAGTCTTCAATTTGTCAACATATACAGGAGGTTGCTCGTTGCGATTTTTACCAAGAGGCATTTTTTACGTAAAAAATCACGGAAATATATATTTTTTCACCCAGTAGTTTTATACAGGTACGGACGAAAAGTTATTACTCTTCAGAAGAGTTAAAACAAATGAAGGCGGCGCCTCCTACAAATAGGACTTATATTGACATCAAAATTAAATTTCTCATGTCAAAAAACTCCCAGTCACCAATTTTCATCTAAATTTTGACGTTACTTCATAACTTATTTGGAAAAAATCGAAATAAAAATGAAACTTCTACACCCTGTATCTTGAAACTAAACATTTAGGACATACAGTTATACGGACATTTTTACTTATTTTTATCTGTAGAATATGCTGCCGATATTTCCGGAATACAGTTCAAACCACCTTGTAGATATTTTTATGAAACTTAATATTATATTAATTACTTACTTTAAATCGTTTGACGACAAATATGATGAGACCCAGTGCCGCTGCTACAATCAAAGTAGAACCTGCTGCTAGCAATATGTACAACCAAGGACCGCTTAGGGTAGATTTGGTACTTTCACTGGGTTCAGTAGATCTGCGAAGTTCCTTTAATCCTGGTGCTGGTAGGGTCCTTATGGTTAGAGGTGGTGCTAATTTGGAAGCACCTAGAAAGAATATACATTGTTATTATATGTATGTACCGTATGATCGAAAAAAAAACGCGTCAAAGACGGCTTGGGAATGACAATCGATAATAAGTTCCCTGTATTTAAACAAAAAAAAAGATTAATTAAAAGAAATTCTTTATTTCTTTTATTCTTAAGAGCTACTACTCGGCGGACAAATTATCAACATCAACAGATATACCGTATGATCGAAAAAAAAACGGCTTCTAGTTGGCTTGGAAATGACATTCTCCATATAATTTGACATATAAAATGATAGAGATCTTCATTTCATAGCCATCGCTGACGCTGTTTTTATTCGATCATATTTTACAATAGTATTTTATTTAATTGGCATTGTTTTTTGTTAGTGCATAAGCGCAAATATATTTGTTTTATATTTGTATTTATTTAGTTTATATATCGTAGAATTGTTGTTGTTTTTTGTTTATACTCTCAGATGCAAAAAAAATGAAACTGAAAATTTTTTGAAGTTTAAAGTGTGATTTTTTTTATTTTTAGCCTTATTTTTTTGATTTTTTTAACGAACTGTATATAAATATATCAACTTTAATTCGTAAACTCAGTTTATTATAAACTTTAGTATTTGACTTATTATACAGAGTTAATTGAAAAGTTTTTTACCCTATCTTTAAAACACCCTGTGCAATAATTTCGTGTGCAAATTTTTCTAAATAATTTTTTTTTTCGGTCTTTGGAATATTTTGTTTTTTGACTTATAGCAACATATGCCTTTGTTAATTTTTAAGGGCAAAATAAACTTGTCACAAACATTTTGCAATTTTTTCAATTAATGTTACTTTTTGATGTCATATCAAAAATATATCGATAATGACACAGGTAGCTACTGTTGTGTACGACTGTATGTGGTTCTTAGTGTCGAAGATTGTGGAAAAGTCATTGATTTTGTTGAAGATGGCCGAAATTACGAGTATTCCCTTGATCCTTGAAGAAGAATGGGAAACTTAACAAAATATATTTGCAGCCTCATTGGCAGTATGACATATATATGAATATATTCTTTTGATCATAATAATGTTATTTAATAATGAATTTATACCCTCCAATCCAAGAATCATACTTCTTCAGCTAATGGTAAACTGCCGGTGGACATTTGCCATCCAGTTCAAGAGGACCCAGTCCAGGACACTTTTCTCGTTATAATTCGGTTTTAATATATTCTTTTGATGATGATAATGTTATTTAATAATGAATTTATACCTTCCAATCAAAGAATCATACTTCTTTAGCAAATGATAAACTGCCAACGGAGATATGCCATCCAGTTCAAAAGGACCCAGTCCAAAACAGTTTTCTCCTTATAATTCGGTTTTAATATATTCTTTTAATGATGATAATGTTATTTAATAATGAATTTATACCCTCCAATCCAAGAATCATAATTCTTTAGCTAATGGTAAACTGCCAACGGACATATGCCATCCAGTTCAAGAGGACCCAGTCCAAAACAGTTTTCTCGTTATAATTCGGTTTTAATATATTCTTTTAATGATGATAATGTTATTTAATAATGAATTTATACCCTCCAATCCAAGAATCATACTTCTTTAGCTAATGGTAAACTGCCAACGGACATATGCCATCCAGTTCAAGAGGACCCAGTCCAAAACAGTTTTCTCGTTATAGTTCGGTTTTAATATATTCTTTTGATGATAATAATGTTATTTAATAATGAATTTATACCCTCCAATCCAAGAATCATACTTCTTTAGCTAATGGTAAACTGCCAACGGACATATGCCATCCAGTTCAAGAGGACCCAGTCCAAAACAGTTTTCTCGTTATAATTCGGTTTTAATATATTCTTTTAATGATGATAATGTTATTTAATAATGAATTTATACCCTCCAATCCAAGAATCATACTTCTTTAGCTAATGGTAAACTGCCAACGGACATATGCCATCCAGTTCAAGAGGACCCAGTCCAAAACAGTTTTCTCGTTATAGTTCGGTTTTAATATATTCTTTTGATGATAATAATGTTATTTAATAATGAATTTATATCCTCCAATCCAAGAATCATACTTCTTCAGCTAATGGTAAATTGTAGATGGACATATGCCATCCAGTTCAAGAAGACCCAGTCCAAAACAGTTTTCTCGTTATAATTCGGTTTTAATATATTCTTTTAATGATGATAATGTTATTTAATAATGAATTTATACCCTCCAATCCAATTCTTCAGCTAATAGTAAACTGCCGATGGACATAAGCCATCCAGTTCAAGAGGACCCAGTCCAAAACAGTTTTCTCGTTATAATTCGGTTTTAATATATTCTTTTAATGATAATAATGTTATTTAATAATGAATTTATACCCTCCAATCCAAGAATCATACTTCTTCAGCTAATGGTAAACTGCCGATGGACAAATGCCATCCAGTTCAAGGGTTAGCAGTCGGGAGAGAAAATACAAAGTATTAGAGTATTTTTTACAAGTTTTTTGTTTGTTTGTACATTTTGTTATTACAGTTATGTTTTTTAATATCCTTAGTTCTGTTAGTGTTCTGATCAAAAAATAATGTTTTAGGAAAAGTTTCTCACGAAATTATTGCACAGGGTGTTTTAAAGTTAGGGTAAAAAGCAATTCTTCAATTAACCCCGTATAATTAGCTCAATACAAAAGTTTATATAAAACTGAGATTATGAATTAAATTTGATATATTTATATACAGTTTGTTAAATAATTCACGAAAATAGAGCTAAAAACAAAAAAAATATAACACTTTAAACTTGAGGCAAAAATTTTCCGTTGCGTTTTTTTTGCATCTGAGTATATTATAATATAATGATCCTATAATTTAAGTACTGTTGTATTTATATCGAATGGAGTTAATCAATCTAATCTAAATCTAATCTAATAATAAAAGTTAAACAATAAAAGTCAATCCTCAATAAAAAATTAATTTGCATAATTTTTCATAACCATAAAACTTTAGTGTCTAGGCAGTTGGGAATTGCTCCCCATAATAATGTCTAAAGACATGCAATATTCGAAAGTTATAAAATACAATAATCAAAAGCATGAAAAATGGGCCATAAAAGTAAAAAGTAAATAAGATTCTTTATAATGATTAAAATACACAACTAATATTTTTATGCGTCACGTACAGTTGGACTTTAAAGCCTTTTAATAATTTATTT